CTGAGAAAGGAACATTTTACAAAGACTTGAAGGATGAAGGGTATATGGGAATTGATCATCCCAAGTAGATGGAACAGCAGCTACAAAGGTCTGAGGTGGGGCTCACAATGGAAAAACCACAATGTAGCTGAAACAGTCAGCAGTGGGAGAGTAGGATGAGATAGATGAGTTAAAGGTGGGAGATGGGGTGGATTTTCTAGAGCCCTGGAGGTCCCTGTCCGGCTTTGGTTTTACTGAGATAAAGGGAGCCACTAGAGTACCCCAATCTGATGGATGTTTTAGGAGAATCTTTTTGTTATTTTATTAAATACTGATGTTTTGGGAGGGTGTGTGAGGGGTTTGGGGGGGTGGACTGTGGCAGTTAGAAGCTAGAAGACCACTTAAGAGACTATTACAACAATCCATGTGAAGACGATAGCTTCTAGATCGGTTTTAAAGGAAAATTCAGCAGGATTTGCTGAGAGACTGTGTATGGGATGTGAGGGGTAGCGGAACCATCATCATGGAGACAGGGAACAGCTTTGGCAGACAGCCTTGCTTTGGACATGTTATGTTTGAGGTGTCTTGGACATTAGAGTTCTAGATGAGCAGCTGGGTACATGAGCCTGGAGTTCAAGACCCGGCTGGAGGTACGCATTTGGGAACTGTGAGATTGTAGACTGTATTAAAACCAAGAGAGTGGGTACTGATAGAGAAGAAAGCGGCCTAGAGACTGAGCTCTGGAGTACAAGGAGAAGAAAAGGAACCTGCAAAGGACACAGAACAAGAAGCCAGTGGGGTCAGAAGACAACAAGGAGTTTGCAGTTGTCTTGAAAGCCAGAGTGAAGAAGATAAATCACAAAGGGAGTGCTCAGCTGAGTCTACTAGTGCTGACGGGCGAAGGAAGAGGAGGAGAACTATGCCTTCACCCCGAGCTCCAGCAACACAGAAGGGCATTCAAGAACAGTTTCAGTGGAATACTAGGGTGAAAAGTGAGACTGATTTAAAAATGTGGAGAGAAGAATTAGACACAGGCTTCCTTGGTTTATAAATGAAACAGTTTTCCTTAGGAAACCCAGGGCAGGATTTGAGATTTTTGTGATTGTCATATATTGAAGGTTTATTTCCTTAAATATTTATAAGACCTACAAAACCATCTCTGATCAAGTTGTGAAGTCACTAAAATAAGTCTTTTCTGTAAAATGGGGAAAGAAGAACATAAAGTTCATTTTATTTGCCATTTGATTTTCTGAATGGTTACAGTACACAGAAGTTAAAGTTTCTCTGTAAGTCATTTTTTTTTTTTAAAGATTTTATTTATTTGAGAGAGATAAAGCACAAGCAAAGAGAGTGCAAAGAGAGAGGGAGAAGTAGGCTCTCCACTGAGCAGGGAGCCTGATGCAGGGCTCCATCCCACTTGAGCCAATGAAGGCAGATGCTTAAAGAACTGAGCCACCCAGGTGCCCCCTCTATATGTCACATTAACATAAGGGTGCTCCAGGAGGTCTAATTTACAGAATAATCATCAAACTCATCAAACCCAATGGTCAGTTTATTTGTCTATTGTGTTCACTTCCACCTTCCCTCTACCCCTCCCCTCACCCCAACACCATCCTTAGAATGTAGACTCCAGGAGAACAGGAACTTTCTCGGTCTTTGACACCTGAATTCCCAGCACCTAGCACATGGTGAGTAATTAAATGCTAAGTGTTAAATAAAATAAAATGCATGTTATGGAGACATTTTTGGCTGTTAACTACTGGAGGGTACACAGAGGCATCCTGGAGACAGAAATACCAATAAACCTCCTACAATTCACAGGACAGCCCCTCACAACAAAGATCGTCCAACCTGAAATGTCAGTAGTGCCAAGGTTGGGGAATGCTACCTTAGAGGAAAAGAGGAAAAAGAATTAGCTTGATTCCTGTAAGACTTGGGTTTGAATCCCTGGAAGAAGAAAAGGGCCTCCAGCAGCAGCATTCACTCCAGATACTGCTGGCTCTCACACAAGAAAACATCTGATGTGGCCTGTAGGGATTCACTGGTATGAACTTTGTCACCCGAGCTGCAGCAGATAAAATCTAGGCTGCAGTGTAGGAAGAGAACATGGCAGAAGAACACAAAACAATGAAATATCTCCAACAAACAGAAACTGAGGACTATCCTGGTATATAAAGGAATATTATGTTTGTTAAGAAAAAGACTATCCCAGAAGAAAAATAAGCAAAAGACCTGATCCATACATATCACAAAGGCCTGATAAAAGGCCAGAGAAATATGGAGGAAAATGCTCAACGTCATTAGTATTCAAGGAAATTCAAGGAAATGCAATGAGAAACAATGATGTATTTTAATCCATCAGATGGGCTAGAATGAAACAGACTGATAATACCCACAATGGGTGAGAACACAGGACTGCAAGCAGTATTGGTACAATTCCTTGGCAGTGGGATTTCAAATTATCTTTTTCCTTATATTTTTCAACAGTGTTCTTCTAAAAAACGAGCTTTTAGCTTCTAAGTCATGATGCTATCATCTGAAATAAAATCCCCAAATTATAGAAATACATATTATACATATATACATAGACTTTCAATGTCACTGTGCCTGCCCTCGTTCAGAGCCAACTCTTTCTGCCACCTAGCTTTCCTCCTCCTTGTACTGTAATTGGATCCTCGTGGATCCCATTTCAGGGGACCCCTCAATAGCATCAGGGCACCCTCCTAGATCTGAGACTATCCAGGTCTCCTCCCGTGTCCTCCCTCATACTTTTTTTTTTTTTTAAGATTTTATTTACTTATTTGACAGAGATCACAAGTAGGCAGAGAAGCAGGCAGAGAGCTAGGAAGGGAAGCAGGCTCCCTGCTGAGCAGAGAGCCTGATGTGGGGCTGGTTCCCAGGACGCTGGGATCATGACCTGAGCTGAAGGCAGATGCTTTAACCCACAGAGCCACCCAGGCGCCCCACTCCCTCATTCTTTTGGTTCAAACTTGACACAGTGCTTGTAACCTTTGTAGCTGCCTTGCGTGACTCATTGATTTGCCTGGAGTTCCTACAGCCCCTTCCCTACTATGGTACTGGTACTCTGACCCGAAGTTCCAGTTCCTTGGGCTGACAGCCATTATTTCACTTAGCACAAAGCCTAGAAATCCTAGTCCCCTCCTTCCTCCTTACACACCAGGGTCATCTTAATTTTTTATCTGCTGTACTAGCACACCACCTGCCTGGTGAATAGAATGCTTAACATTTAAAATGCTTTGTTCATTACCCTGTTTTCCTGGTTTTGATACCTTGTTTCATTTTTCTTATTGTTTGATATGTTCATTATTGAGTTTAGAAAAGTCTTTGTGGTTCTATAGACAGCAAGCAGAATCTGAGTATGCCAACTTTTTAACTATATCTTTCTCTGTAAGCCAAAGTTCATCCTATAAACACTAGAAACTGACTACACACCCCAAGTGAACTTAAAACCAAGTAAGAATCATCTCCTACTGGTGTTTTCCTTATTTATTTATTAATTTATTTTAAAAAAGATTTATTTATTTGACAGAGATCACAAGTAGGCAGAGAGGCAGGCGGTGGGCGGGGGGCGGGGGGGAAGCAGGCTCCCCGCTGAGCAGAGAGCCCAATGCAGGGCTCAATCCTAGGACCTGAGCCAAAGGCAGAGGCTTAACCCACTGAGCCACCTAGGTGCCCTGGTATTTTCCTTTTTAAAAGGAAAATAGCTGAAGGCTGTTGTGGGGAGGTCATTGAGAGGACATGACTGCCAGTTTACCCACGAGCTGGACTTGGGCCATCAGAGGCTGCTCACCCCCTCCCCTGTCCTTGGAATGTATGTTCTGCCCACCGTTGGCACAATGGGAGCTGGCATAAGGACACAGATTTGAGACAGCGGTATGCTGTTGACAGCTCTGGATGGTCTACGTGACTGAACCAAGTTAAGGCCTCCTTATATACTTTGAAGATTCTGACGGGCGGATGCAGGGATCTGCTCACCTTGTGGGCACCCCAGACAAGCCTTGTAACAAACAAGTCAGTTTCTTTGTTATTAAGCAGTCTGGAGGGGTCTGCCCCTTTCTTTGGTCTCTCCCAGCCCTCCATGTACAAGGGCCAGTTTCAGATTATACCCAGGAAAGCTCTCGAGGAGTTTGCAGACCAACAAAAGCAGTTTACAGATTCTTCCAGAACACAGAGACAGATTTCTGGAGAAGGCAATGGCTTTAAGATATACTTATTAAAAAGGAAGGAAAGAGAAAAAAAAAAAAGAAGAAGAAGGGAGAAAATAAGTTAGGAAACTTGGATATGATCTTAATTTTTAAAAATGCTATTTGGCTTTAGTTTGTGAATGTTGCCATTTTGGGGCCTCAAGGGGACTGACTTTGGGTGACAGACCATCACTTTTCCCTTGATAGAGAACTTTTAGAATGTCCCAGCAGTGAGTAGATCTAAGGAAACTGGTGTTCGTCCTCCTAAGTACCTGGATGTGACCAAATCAATACAACCTTGCCAAATAGTTGTGTATATTGTATGGGTTTTTTTTTTTTTTTAAAGATTTTATTTATTTATTAGAGAGAGAGAGAGATAGAGAGAGCGAGCATGAGCACAGGCAGAGTGGTAGGCAGAGGCAGAGGGAGAAGCAAGCTCCCCGCTGAGCAAGGAGCCCGATGTGGGACTCGATCCCAGGACGCTGGGATCATGACCTGAGCCGAAGGCAGCCGCTCAACCAACTGAGCCACCCAGGCGTCCCATTGTATGGGTTTTCAAATGAGATCTTGATTATTCAGCTAATGGACCAACACACATGATCGCAAATGCCCCCTCCCCTCAATTAAGCTTTCTAGGGCAGCACATAAAGATGCTAATGCACATGGATGAATTAAAGGGGCAAACTAGGAAAACTGGGGAAATAATGTCCTTTACTCATAAAAATGCTTCATTTCACCTGGAGAATTAGATATGATTAATATCTATATATAAGTTTATATGACATCTTAGTCTCATAATTTTAAAGTATAATCCAAGGTGGGCCCAGCTGGATCAGTTGGAAGAGCATGTGACTCTTGATCTCTGGGTTGTGAGTTCGAGCCTCACACTGGGTGTAGAGATTATTCAAATAAATAAGACTTAAGAAAGCATAAGTCAAGGCTAAAAAGATGGTTTTTGGACCAACTTAAAGCCAAAGAACATACCTTTCTTGATCTAATCAAGGTATAGTCAATACTGAAACACATGGCAACTAAAGAAGGATTAAAATAAGGGGAACGTTCTCAAGTTTTCTCTGAAGTTTTTCAGCTGTTGCCAGTGGAAGGTGCTGCTGACATAACAAGCAACACTGGTCAGTCTGACACTGGTCCAAGTGATCTTGATTATCTTATTTCTGGAGAATGGAAAACTATAGGAGTTTGCATAGTCAACCAGCTAGTGAGACTGGTCTTACAAAGAGGATATTCTCCGTAAGAGCTACAGAGGCCAAGCTGTCATCCCAGACCACACAAGCACTTCGAGTACATGATGAGGCTCTGCAGGGGAAAACAACATTAACCACAAAAAAAAAAAAATGATTTCTCTCATCAGTTTAAGAGTGGAGAAAACTTAACTTGATCAAACCCTTGTTTCAACTAGATCATCGCGTCAGATTTCCTCCATATACATAGCCAAATTATTACCGGGTTCTAATCTTGGGCAGGAAGAGTCGTTTAAACTACACCTTTGATCTTAGGATAAACCAGACAGTTAAACAACTTCAAAATGTGCAAAAACAGACGTTCTCCTCGAGATATCCAGGCTCTACGAAATACTTTTCAAGTGACCCAAAAGTCTCACCTACTAAAGAGCCATGCAGGTGAGAGCAAAATTAAAGTTTCCAACCAAAATTGTCAAATGTTATCTGGCAAAAACTGGCATTCCTGAGGATAGCTGGTCAGGTCATCGATCAGTCTTAGATTCCTCTGCATTCCTCTGCAACTGCCCTCCTGACCTTGAGCAGCTCACACGTGAGCAGGCGGAGAGTCAAGGTCAGAGGAAGTGAAAGTCAACAAGCGCTTACTCAACAGGGCATTGTGTCGCTTCAGGTAGGCAATTATGTCTCCTTGCTTTTCAACGATCTCTTCTAGGCTTGAAATAGGCCTGCGAAGAATCAACATATTCACCAATACTCATCTCTTTGCAAATGGGTCCCCTCCCAGTTTCCAGTACAGCATATTGTATTTGGGACTTTTTCTTAAGATGCTGTAAGCCAAGGTAATATTCCAAAATGAAGTTCTTTCATCAGACTTGGTTTTATCCAGCTGAATGGGAGTAAGCAAATCAAACTTAAATCTAAGGCACATATGCATAATCATAAATTCCAAGCATAAGAATGTTTTCTAGATTTTCAAGGTGGGGCAACCTCATAATTCTCTAGTCTTTCATTTCCCACCCAAAGCTTACCTGAATCCAGTCTCCGAGGTAATATTGCTGGGGTAAGCATAGATTTTTTCTTCTTCAAGTACATCAGGTTGTGGTTTGGCTTTATTAAATTTTCGAATTTTCACTAAAATAATAAAGTCAATAATATTGTCAAGTTACCTAATTATGAAAAAAACTTTTACTTCCATTTATTCAAATTACAATAATTGGCTATGCTTTTCAAGTAAGTTAATATGGACGAAAATGCTTCATAAAGTGAATAAACAGGTTTGTTTATTGATGTACTCAAGCATTTGAAAATCTGTGAGCAGACGTGAACTAAACACTGGACTACAGAGAGTGTCATTATTACTGGTAATAATAACAGCTGATTTTTTGGTAAATTTAAAAGACAGAAGGCACAGGTGAACTATTGTGCATGGACAGCCTCATCCAGTTCTCAGAACCACTCCCTGAAGCAGATGCCCTATGACTCCTACCTTCTACAATAAAGTGAAGCCCAGAGAAGTTAAATAAGTAGCCAGGTTTCCAGTCCAGGAACCATGACTTTTTTCCAACAACCTCCACTGTTGATACTACCCTATAGAAAGAGCTACTAGTTCAGGGAAAAATACAGATGAACAGTCTATATCCAAGACAGTATGAAAAGAACCAAAATCGAAGCTTGCATGAAGAGCTTGTGGCAGCCCTGGAAAGCAGCCCCTAACTCAGCAGGAGTGGGATGGGAGGGACGATCATGGAGGAGGATGGAAGGGCTTGAGTCTAGTCTTGGGGGAAACAGGAAAACTGCATGGACTAGGGGAGGAGAGAAGATTTTATTTATTTATTTGACATAGAGAGAGAAGCAAGAGCGAGCACAGGCAGACAGAGTGGCAGGTAGAGGCAGAGGGAGAAGCAGGCTCCCTGCCAAGCAAGGAGCCCGATGTGGGACTCGATCCCAGGACGCTGGGATCATGACCTGAGCCGAAGGCAGCCGCTTAACCAACTGAGCCACCCAGGCGTCCCAGGATTTTGTTTTTTATCTCTTATTTATAATTAATTATAGATGCTACAGCAAATCCTTTAAAAATAGTACAGTAAGTCCTAGAAAAATAAATCTTGGACTACCTTTTTTTTTTTTTTTTAAAGATTTTATTTATTTATTTGACAGAGAGAGATCACAAGCAGGCAGAGAGGCAGGCATAGAGAGAGGAGGAAGCAGGCTCCCTGCCGAGCAGAGAGCCCGATGTGAGACTCGATCCCAGGACCCTGAGATCATGACCTGAGCCGAAGACAGCGGCTTAACCCACTGAGCCACCCAGGCGCCCTCTTGGACTACCTTTTAACAGTATTAATTTTCCCTTATTTACATGATTGACATTCACATGATCTTTGGAATATTGTTGTTACCGCCTTCTATGTCACAAAGCATTCTTTTTTTTTTTTTTTTTAAGATTTTTATTTATTTCACAGAGAGAGAGATCACAAGTAGGCAGAGAGGTAGGCAGAGAGAGAGAGGGAAGCAGGCTCCCCGCCGAGCAGAGCCGGATGCCGGGCTCGATCCCGATGCGGGGCTCGATCCCAGGACTCGAGAGACCACGACCTGAGCCGAAGGCAGAGGCTTAACCCATTGAGCCACCCAGGCGCCCCAAGTCACAGAGCATTCTATAGATCTTTACTACAAGAAGGCCTGCACCCCTTGTAGTAAATAAAAGTTGTAGAGTACTAAAGTAACAGGGTAAGTGAATTCTCTACTCAGATCTAAACTATGATCTCATTTATAGCATCTTCCAGATGTGTTGTAGACTGGAACTGATCTCAATCAAGAAGGTAATTCAGTATTCATTTGTCATATGGATCACTTTACTGAAATAGCAAGCTGTTTCTTATATATTGAAAAACAAATCTTACTTTAAAACTAGTCTCATTCCGGGCGCCTGGGTGGCTCAGTTGGTTAAGCGACTGCCTTCAGCTCAGGTCATGATCCTGGAGTCCCAGGATCAAGTCCCACATTGGACTCCCTGCTCAGCAAGAAGCCTGCTTCTCTTTCTGCATGCCCCTCCCTTCTCTCGTGTGATTTCTCTCTCTCTCATTCTCTCTCTCTCTCAAATAAATAAATAAAATCTTAAAAAAAAACAAACAAAAAACCAGTCTCATTCTTTTCTAGGAAGTTAAGTGGGTGATATACATTTATTTTTTTAAGTGAGGTACAAAATGTAATCCTATCCATAATTTGGCTCATTGTTAGCTGATAATTATAGAAAAATTTATAAAGATCAATCAATAATGTGACATTCACATTTACAAACTAGTAATACCATTCATATTCTAAATACTCTTCTGTTGGCCTAAGGAGATGCACAGAAAAAAAAAAATCAGTAAAATGAAACATAAGCTGAGACCTGTGTGACTTTGCCCTTCTTGGCGAAAACAAATGACCTTTTTCAAAATGAATACATAAGATATTTTATTATCACAAAATAACTGTTACACAGTGCCAGAAAATTGGCTACTATTTTGGACAGATTTTACGGCATGTCAATATTGCAGCAGGAATGAAACCTAGATTTTTCCAGGGCTTGAATTTTTTTCTGTTAAAAGTATTCTTCCATCTGTTTTTCATGTTAATATATCTAAAGCGTATTTTTTTTTTTTAAAGATTGTTTATTTTAGAGGGAGAGTATGCACAGGGGGAGAGAGAGAGAATCCTCTAGCAGATTCCCCACTGAGCACAGAGCCTGATGTGGGGATTGATCCCAGGATTCTGAGATCATAACCTGAGCCAAAATCAAGAATCAGCCACTTAACCAACTGAGCCATGTATGCACCCCTCTAAAGTAAAGCTTCCTTTAATTTTAATCCCTGAGAGTTCTGAGAGAGAGAGAGATACACAGAGACAGACAAATAGACCAAACCTCAGACAGCTCTAAATTTAGAAAATGAGTTCCTAAATGGTTTATCCTAAAGTAAGTCTGGGCTAAATGCATTTTGCACACAAGATTTATTTATTTACTTATTTTGTATTTTGTCATTTTGAATTTATTTTATTATTTTTTTTTAAAGATTTTATTTATTTATTTGACAGAGAGATCACTAGGCAGAGAGGCAGGCAGAGAGAGAGGAGGAAGCAGGCTCCCTGCTGAGCAGAGAGCCCGATGCGGGGCTCGATCCCAGGACTCTGAGATCATGACCTGAGCCGAAGGCAGCGGCTTAACCCACTGAGCCACCCAGGCGCCCCCGTCATTTTGAATTTAAATGCCAGACTTATATCTCAGTTGCCTTTGAAGAAGCAAATGTCCATGGGTCTTTTCAATTTTTTTGTTTTTGGTCTTTTTTAAAGATAAGTATCTTATCTTTAAAAATCTTTAAAAATTAGTTTATGACACAAATTTAGAAGCACCACTGGTATGTTGCTGTTGGTTTGAAATCACGCAAGTTTGCATGAGGTCAGCATTGAAAAGTACAGGTGCTCAACAGGCTCCCAGCTGCTAGGAAAACCTTGCCATAAAGATAATGGCCATGCTTCCCATGATCAGGGATGAAACAACCAGTTAGTTAATGGTCTTTGGCCCAACAGTCTCGCTGTAATTCTCACCTGTGTAAATGAGCAGACAGGTCAGGGAACAGATCAGTTCCAGGCCCAGGATGGCCAGGATGAGGTCAAGATACAGCCTGCTGGGCTCCGGGAAGGAGTGCTGCATGCACAACACGAGGAGGAGAGTTGTGCTGCCTGCAGAGGACAGAGAAGTGCAGGGTTAGCAGAGCCCAGATGGGGTCCACAAGGCAGGCGCACACCCAGGCCCTGTTATACGGAGCAGTGAAGGAGGCTTTGGTAAAAACCCCGAACTGCTGCTCTCTAGAGGGAAAAACCCCCAACGCAACTAAGAGTTAATGATGCCCCCCAAATACAATTACGTAAGAATCTGGATTTTCTTAAAAACCAAGTTATGATTTTTTGCTCTATACAATTATTAACAATGGCATCGCATGAAGTCCCATGTGCATTTAAAAAGGGATGCAGGGGTGCCTGGGTGGCTAAGCTGGTTGAGCATTTGACTCTTGATTTTGGATCGGGTCATGGTCTCAGGGTCATGGGATCCAGCCTCTTGGTGGGCTTCGTGCTCAGTAGGGAGTCTGCTTGTCCCTCTCCCTCTGCTCCTCCCCCTGCTCTCTCTTTCTCAAATAAATAAATACATAAGGATGAAGTTTCTGGAAACTTGCATTATCCCAGTTCTTCCGAATCCAGAGGCACTTGAGGACCATGGTGGCCCATCCTGGTCACATAATGTACCAGCAGAGAACTGCACAGAAGTTAAGAATGTTGCAGTTATGTGGACCACCTGGCTGGACATCTGGGACATGCTGCTGACTATGGACAAATGACCTGACACATCTGCTCCTAAATTTCCTTGTCTGAAAAATGGGAACAACAGTACCTTCCTCACAGTGCTCTTGTGAGGAATGAATGAAGTTAATACGTGAAAAACACTTAGAATGGTGCTTGGACACTGATCAATATGAACTGTCCCCCCCCCCCCACTTAGCATATCTATTATTTGGTTTTGAAGATCATTAGCCTTGTTTTGTACTTTCATTTTGAAGAATACAGCGCAGAAGAAAAGTAAAATTCTGGAGCAAAGAGGCTGGGTCTTGCCATCGTGTAAGGTATGACTGTGAGTTTGCCACAGGGACTTGGGATTTTTAAAGATTACACAAAACCAAAATTAGTAGTAGTAGTTTTATTTTTAAAGAGTTTCTTTATTTGTCAGAGGGAGAGAGCACACACAAGCAGGGGGAGTGGCAGGTAGAGAGAGAAACACGCCCTGCTGAGCAGGGAGCCGCAGCTGGACTTGATCCCAAAACCCTGGGATCATGACCTGAGCTGAAGGCAGAAGCTTATAACCACTAGGTACTGTTAGTTCACTTCCTCCTGCAACAGAGTTTGTGTGAAAAATATTATTTCCCCGATTTTATAGAGAAAGGGTATCAGGATGAAGCTAATCACTAGCCCACGATACTATCACATGCCATAGAAACAATGGTCACACTCATCTGATTAGCTGGATGTTCTACACCCTCATGGACTTACCTTTTTATTCTTCATATAAGATAAAATGCTTAAAGTAGAAACAAGGTCAATACCTGCCCCAATCTCTTTGATCTTCTGGGTCCTTATATGAGCAACATAAAAGTCATGCCATCTGCAATTAAAAGTAAGGGTCTAATTGCTTAGAAATATTAAGGGTCATCTGTTAGCAAGAATTTGAAAGTGAGCAGAAAGGTAAAGATCAGACAACCCTTGGTGGGCCTCAAAAATACTATTTCCAGACTGCTCACTTGAGAGACTGAACATTACTTTGGTTATAATGCATATATGGTCCTTAAGTTAAAAATGGGTTTTTGCTTTTATCTTCAGTGGGTGGGAGGAAAGGTTATAGTGACATCTTCTGGCCAAAAACAAGTATTACACATCAGCAGCGGAACATACAAGCCAAGCTCTTCCTCAAGGAAGAGGTAAAAATGTCCCCCCACCCCACAGTGAGTCAAAACCAGCCATCTCTATAAAATGCTTCTCTGTTATCGCATGGCCCTGCAGCTGCCACTGAGAACATTGCAGAGTAGATGAACTCGCACTTGCCCTTTAAGAAAATGTATTAATAGAACACAGAAGAAAAAAAAATTAAATTCTGTAGAGCTGTTTTTCTGGGGGAAAAAATTATCTTCAAATCTGGTTTCAAAATGTGTAAGTATTTATTCCGGACTCAATCCGAAAACGAGGTTCTCTAAAAAAGGTAGGAACTTTGAACATCAAGGCAAAAATGCCTAAAGAAGTTCAGTTTAGGGGCACCTGGGTGGCTCAGTGGGTTAAGCCGCTGCCTTCGGCTCAGGTCATGATCTCAGAGTCCTGGGATCGAGCCCCGCGTCGGGCTCTCTGCTCAGCGGGGAGCCTGCTTCCTCCTCTCTCTCTGCCTGCCTCTCTGCCTGCTTGTGATCTCTGTCAAATAAATAAATAAAATCTTTAAAAAAAAAAAAAAAAAAGACGTTCAATTTAATTCCATTCAGCCTTTTTAAGATGTTTGCAAAATCAACAAAGTGGGTACAATGCAGCTAAGTCCTATGCAGACTTTCCAACCTTTTGGAAAGGTTTTCCATTTTGGATAATGCATTTTATTATATCACAGTCTCTCACTAAAAGAAACACTGAACTTCATTTAAAGTAAAGCCAATTTCTTCCTCTCACCCTACAAGTATCAAATAGCAGCAGCAGCTTATCCTTGAGATGATTAAGACGGCTCATACCAGAAGGGGGGAAAAGTCTACATCATGCACAGGCAGATACGTGGACACAATGTTCACAATGGGGGCAAGAAAATGTCACCCCAAAATATGCTTTTGGGCATAAGGATTATTTTTTTTCTTAAGATTTTATTTATTTGAGAGAGAAAAGTAAGGGGGGCGGCAGAGGGAGAGGCAGACTCTCCACTGAGCGGGGAGCCCGACTTGGGGCTTGATCCCAGGATCTCAAGATCATGACCTGAGCTAAAGGCAGATGGTTAACCGACTCAGCCACCCCGACATAAGGATTATTTTAAGCTGGTTAGTTTTAAGAAACAACAGACACAGGTGAATCCCAGAAAGCTGATGGAAGTTACCTTTTTTTTTTTTTTTTTTAAAGATTTTATTTATTTATTCTACAGAGGAAGATCACAAGTAGGCAGAGAGGCAGGCAGAGAGAGAAGGAAGCAGGCTCCCTGCTGAGCAGAGAGCCCGATGCGGGGCTCGATCCCAGAACCCTGAGATCATGACTTGAGCCGAAGGCAGAGGCTTAACCCCCTGAGCCACCCAGGCGCTCCAGAAGTTACCTTTTTAAAAAAATTTTATTTACTTATTTGAGAGAGAATGAGAGAGCATTATTCTCTCCGGGGAGCTGCAGAGGGGGAGCTGCAGAGAGGGAGCAGCAGAGGGAGAGGGGGGGAACACCAGAGGGAGAGGGAGAAGCAGTCTCTGCGTCGAGCAGGGAGGCCGATGTGTGGCTCCATCCCAGGACCCCGGGATCATGACCTGAGCTGAAGGCTGACACTTAACTGACTGAGCCACCCAGGTGCCCTGGAAGATACCCTTTTGTAAGAGACAGTTACAAAGGAAAACTAGTTTGTAAGTGTGTCCTTTCTGTACCAGGAAGAGAACGAAGGCTTAGAAACTATTTTCCAAAAAGAAGGCACAGACTTAAATCTGCATAATAATGTTACCGTTGTTTCCAGAGCTTTTCCTGCTCACCCTCCCGTTATTCCTACCACTGCCTCACCACAATGTCTATGGTCTCTTTGGCTAGAGATGGTATTAAAGGTGGTGGCGTGGCCCCTTCTGGAGAGTTACTCAGTTTTCTTGGGTCTCTCCCATGAAACACAGGAGGTATGCATGGTTTTTTTTGTTTTTGTTTTTGTTTTTTTTTTTTTTATTTGACAGAGATCACAAGTAGGCAGAGAGGCTGGCAGAGAGAGAGAGAGAGGAGGAAGCAGGCTCCCTGCTAAGCAGAGAGCCCGATGTGGGGCTTGATCCCAGAACCCTGGGATCATGACCTGAGCCGAAGGCAGAGGCTTTAACCCACCGAGCCACCCAGACGCCCCAGGAGGTATGCATGTTAATAAATTTGTTTTTCTTGTTAACCTTTTATTATAGTGGGGTCTCAACCAAAAATCTTCCTAGAAGAGGGAAATTTTTTCACCCCCCCCAATGATAACAAACACAGATGTGAAAGGAAAATTAAGACTATACTGGGGTGCCTGGGTGGCTCAGTCAGTTAAGGGTCTGCCTTCAGCTCAGGTCATGATCCTAGGGTCCTGGAATTGAGCCCTACCTTGGGCTCTCTGCTCAGGGGGGAGCCTGCATTTTACTCTTCATCTGCCTGCCACTCCTCCTGCTTGTGTTTCTCTCTCTCTCTGTCAAATAAATAAGTAAAAAAAAAATTTTTTTTTTAGATTTTTAAAATTTATTTGACAGAGAGAGAGAGAGATCACAAGTAGGCAGAGCAGCAGGCAGAGAGGCGGAAGCAGGCTCCCTGCTGAGCAGAGAGCCCCATGTGGGGCTCGATCCCAGGACCCTGAGATCATGACCTGAGCTGAAGGCAGAGGCTTAACCCACTGAGCCACCCAGGCGCCCCTAAATAAGCAAAATCTTTAAAAAAAAGAAAATTAAGACCATATTATTAAAAAAGCTTCAAGACAATAAGCTGATCTTATTTAGTGGCCACAACACACATCACTCTCACAAACATGAGAGACTATATTTGATTTTAAAGTCAAACCTCCCATTTTCCTTCTGCTGGCATTTCCACCACACAAGCAAGCCAGAGACAAGCTGAGCCAGACTCACCGGTTGAGTGTATCATCAGTGCAAGTCCTTTAAGATGCCTCGTAGCTAGGTAGATCATGTTATAGCCTCGGTTTCTGACTTTGTTGTGGTGATACTGGATGTAGCGTTCAAGAAGGAAATGCAGAATCCACAAAATAACTTTTCCAAGGATTATGACTGTCTGAACCTTCAGTGGGTTGGTATAGTTTCCTGGGCACTTGTCCTCAATTGGATTAGGGTAAGAACAAAGCACACCTGTCAAAAATGCTAAAATGACAAATACAACCTGGTGGAAATGAAAGCAGTAGGATTAATATTCAATATTTAGAATTAAGAAATGATATTTACCACCCAAGCACATAGTCATACCTATGACTTTTGTGATCCTATTTTTATAAATGAATTTACAAACAACTTTTTTTTCCATTTTACAAATGTTTTAAACAGAAAATTTGGAGAAAAATTTGCAAAAAATTTGGAAACAAATCACAAATAAGGGAAGTCACCCCAAATCCTGTCTAATAGAGACGAGTACTTAAACAATTTCTTGCCCACTTCTCTTTTATTGAAAAGAGTAAAAGCAGTTAATTTAGTGCTTCAGAGGTAAGTAATAAAAATCATGGCTAAAAAAACTTTATTTCTAGTTTCAGTTTTAAGAGAACAAAAACAAGTATGTAATTAGATCGACAAAATTTTAAAAGATGGGTGCCAAAATACAGGGAAACAGAAATTCTCATATATTCTCATATATTGCTGGTCTAGGAACAGATGTGAAAAAAGAATTTGGAAGCATCTTGATCCTGTCTTAAGAACTCTACTCATCAGAAGTAACAGTCCCAGTTCAGACGGCTCTATGACTACCGATATTTATTACAGTATTCTCTATTATAACGCTGAAAATTGCCCAAGGATATGTGTTCATCCATAGCAGAATGCTTGAGTAAATTAAAATACATCTACTCGTAAAACAGTAGTATTGATCTATTAAAGAATTAACTAAATCTCCCTGCATTAATTTGGATGGATGTCTGTATGTTAGGATTAAAAGATGTAAGATAGAGTAGTAGTTCAAAGTGTGGTTTACAGACCAGCACAATCAGCATCACAAGGGAGCTAGTCAGAAATGCAAATTCTCAGGCCCCACCCAAAACCAGGAGAATCTGGGGATGTCACCCAGCTATCTAGTTTAACAAGCCTGCTGGGGAGTCTGACACAGGCTCAAGTGTGAGAAACACTTGGGCAGAGTGATAAATACAGTATTATCCAACTAGGGGTGGGGGGAAGAAATAGGGGAAATCCTTTAAAATATGTATGAATCTGTGTGTGTGTGTGTGTGTGTGTGTGTGTGTGTGTGTGTGAGTGTGTGTGTGTGTGTGTGTGTGTGTGTGTGTGTGTATGTTAAGCAGGCTCCATGCCCAGGGTGGAGCCCAACACAGGGCTGAACTCAGGAACCTGAGATCAAGACCTGAGCTGAGATCAACAGTTGGTCATTTAACCGACCCAGCCACCCAGGCACCCCTCTTTTTGTACGAATTGAACGAAAGGCACTGAGATATACCCATTTATTAACTCCGAGAAAAAGGCTGAAGCAGAGAAAAGGGAAGATAGGATTTTATCTTTGTACACTTTGGTAATGTTTTACTTGTTACAATAAGGAAGTTATTTTGTAAGTTTAAAAATCAAATAAAGAAAAATGTATCCTTGGTATTCATCACCAAACACCAATAGTAGGCAATCCTAGCATATAATAAATCTACTTAAAATATATGTGATTTGTCAAGAGCAGTCATATTTGCTAGGGCAACTCAAGATGCCTATTACCATAAAGGAAAAAACTGAAAGGTCGACAAATTCCCTATATAGGAAAACACTGTACATTGAAGCAAGCTGATCCATTTTTTATAAAGTAGCATATAGACATTTTGCTTGTTTAAATTTTTACTTAAATTTCAGTTAATTAATGTATATGGACTGGAAATTTAATGTTAGTTTCAGGTGTACAATATAGTATTTCAACAACTCTACACAACCCGGTGCTCATGACAAGCGCCCTCCTTCATCCCCATCACCTATTTCTCCCATCCCCCCACCCACCTCCCCTCTGGGAACCATCAGTCTGTTCTCTATAATTAAGAGTCTCTTTTTTGGTTTGCCTCTCTTTTTTTTTTTTTTTCCCTTTGCTCATTTGTTTTGTTAAATTCCACATGAGTGAAATGACATGGCATTTGTCTTTCTCTGACTATTTTGCTTAGCATAATACTCTCCCGCTCCATCCATTTATCATTGCAAATGATAAGATTTCATTCTTTTTTATGGCTAATATTCTGTTGTGTATATATACCACCTCTTCTTTATCCATTCATCAGCTGATGGACACTTGGATTGTTTTCATAATTTGGTTATTGTAAATACTGCTATAAAAAACAGGGAGCATGTATCCCTTTGAATTTGTGTTTTTGCATTCTTTGGGTAAACACCTAGTAGTGTGACTGCTGGCAGCTCTATTTTTAACTTTTGGTGGAACCTCTGTACTGTTTTCCAGATTGGCTGCACCAGTTTGCATTCCCACCAATAATGCTGATGGGTTTCTTTATCTCCACATCCTTGCCAACATCTGTTGTTTCTCATGTTGTTGATTTTACCCATTCTGACAGGTGTGAGGAGATATCTCATGTAGTTTTGATTTGCATGTCCCTGATGATAAGTGATGTTAGGCATACTTTCATGTGTCTATTGGCCACGTGGATGTCTTCTTTGGAGAAGTAAGTGTTCATGTCTTCTGCCCATTTTTTAATTGGATTGTTTTTTGGGTGTTGAGTTTTGTAAGTTCTTTGTATGTTTTGGATACTAACCCTTTATTAGATTTGTCATTGGCAAGTATCTTCTCCCATTCTGTAGGTTGCCTTTTAGTTTTCTTGTTTGTTTCCTTCGCTGTGCAGAAGCGTTTTATTTTGATGTAGTCCCAATAGTTTAACTTGTTTCTCTTGCCTCAGGAGACTTTTCTAGAAAAAAGTTGCTATGGCTAATGGCAGAGAAATTACTGCCTGTATTTTCCTCAAGTTTTGTGGCTTCAGGTCTCATATTTAGGTCTTTCATCCAATTTGAGTGTATTTTTGTGTATGGTAAAAGAGAATGGTGTAGTTTCATTCTTTCGCATGCAGCTGTCCAGTTTCCCTGCACTGTTTATTGAAGAGACTGTCTTTTTCCCACTGGATATTCTTTCCTGTTTTGTTGAAGATTAACTGACCAATAATTGTGGGTTCATTTCTGGGTTTTCTATTCTGTTCCATTGACCTATGAGTCTATTTTTGTGCCAGTACCATACTGTCTTGATCACTACAGCTTTGTCCTAGAACTTGAAGTCAGGAATTGTGATGTCTCCAGCTTTGCTTTTCTTTTTCAAGGTTGCTCTGGCTATTTGGGGTCTTCTGTGGCTCCATACAAATTTTAGGATTGTTTGTTCTAGTTCTCTGAAAAATGCTGCTGGTATTTTGATATTTGATAGGGATTGAATTAAATGTGTAGATTTCTCTGGGTAGTACAGGCATTTTAACAGTATTTTTTCTTTGAATCCATGAGTGTGGAATGATTTTCCATTTCTTTATGTCATCTTCCAATTTTTCATCAGTGTTTTAGCGTTTTCAGAGTATAGGTCTTTTACCTCTATGGTTTATTCCTTGGTAGCTTTTGGGTTTTGGTGCAATTGTAAATAGGACTGATTCCTTGATTTCTCTTTACACTGCTTCGTAATTGGGTGTATAGATATGCAAAAGATTTCTGAACATTGATTTTGTATCCTGTGACTTTGCTGAATTTGTTATTAGTTCTAGCAGTTTTTTGGTGGATCTTTCAGGCTTTCTATGTGTAGTCTCATGTCATGTACAAACAGTGAAAGTTTTACTTCTTCCTTGCTGATTCGGATGCCTTTTCTTTCTTTTTGTTGTCGGATTGCTGAGGCTGGGACTTCTAGTACTATGTTGAATAAAAGTGGTGAGAGTGGACAGCCCTTGTTGTTCTTGGCTGTAAAGAAAAAGCACAGGATGCCTGGGTAGTTCAGCTGGTTAATCATCTGCCTTTGGCTCAGGTCATGATCCCAGGATCCCGGGATAGAGCCCCACATCAGGCTTCTTGCTCAGTGGCGAGTCTGTTTCTCCCTCTGCCTTTGCTGCTCCCCCTGCTTGTGCTCTCTCTCTCTGACAAATAAATAAATAAAATCTTTAAGAGAAAGCTCAGTTTTTTTTCCCATTTAGGATGATGCCAGCGGTGGGTTTTTCATAGATGGCCTTTATTATGTTGAGGTATGTTTCTTCTAAACGTATTTTGTTGAGGGTTTCTTATCATGAATGGATGTTGTACTCTGTCAATTTTTTTTTCTGATCCATTGAAATGACTGCATGGTTCTTATCCTTTTTAAAATAATTAATGGGATGAATCATGTTGATTGATTTACAAGTATTGAACCACCATTGCAACCCAGGAATAAATCCCACTTATTGCGTTAAATGATTTTTTGAAATGTATTGTTGGATTTGGTTTGCTAGTATTTTGTTGAGGATTCTTGTATCTATGTTCATCAGAGGATGTTTGCCTACGGTTCTTTTTTTGTGGTGTCTTTATCTGGTTTGGGTATCAGGGTAATGCTGGTATTTTTCTTGCTTTTTAACACAAGATTTTCTTAGTCCTAAAATTAGGGCAATCGATCCCATAGTATCATAGGCAGGCATTTTAAAGATTTTTTTTTTAAATTTATTTGACACAGAGAGGCACGTGTAGGCAGAGAGGCAGGCAAAGAGAGAGGGGGAACCAGGCTCCCTGCTGAGCAGAGAGCCTGATGTGGGGCTCGACCCCAGGACCCTGAAATCATGACCTAAGCTGAAGGCAGAGCTGAGCTTAACCCATTGAGCCACCCAGATGCCCCTGTAGGCAGGCATTTTAATATAAAAGGGTTTTTCAAAGTCATATGTGTGTATGTTTGTGTGTATGTGGGGGTATACATACATAGAGAGTATGTTACACAAATTAAAGATATGTTATTAAAAAAAAGAAGAAGAAGAAAACAGGCCAGGGACCAGAGGCCACCTCTTCAGTTGATAATCTGGCCAGGGACCAAGAGGCCACCTCTTCAGTTGATAATCTGGGGATTGGGAAGCCCTGATAGAACCAGGCCACACTTAACTATATCTACACAAGGAAAAAGGATGCTCCTCTCTCCTCAGGGTATTCAGTTCTGAATTCAAGTCTACATGGTGTGTGTCACTGGAGCAGCAGCTGAACGAGTCAACAAACCACATTCATTCTTCTCATAAACATTTGGGATCGCTAAGAACTTGCCCCCCTGACTTTTCACACTGTAGCAAAGAATAACTACATCCTCTCGAGCTTCAGATTTCAGTGACCAAAATGGAGATGATTAACAGACTGGATGCAGAGCCATCGATAAGTTACACCAAGACCACTCACACGTACAGGTGTTTTGCTTGTTTGTTTTTCCATTTAGGGGTTTCTTTTTGTGTGCATGTGATGTTGAATTTATTTACTTCTGTATTCTTATTGAATAACTGGCATATACCATTGATATACCATTGTGTCAGTTTAAAGAGGACAACCTGGCTTTTGGTTTGTTTTTTCTTTCTTTTTTTTTTAACTTTTTATTTTAGTTTTAGTAATCTCAACAGCCAATGTGGGGCTCAAACCCATGACCCTGAGGTTAAGAGTCACACCCTCCTCCAACTGAGACAGCCAGGTGCCCCTACAACTGGTTGATTTGATAAATTTATGTATTGCAATATAATTACCTTCCCAGTGTTAGCTAACACCTCTATCACTTCACATCATTACCACTTCCTTTTTGTGGTGACAACAATTAAGCTATCTAATCTCTTGGCAACTCTGAAGTTCATAATACATAAAATATGGCTGACTGTACAAACTAGGCTATGCATTTGATTGCCAGGACTTTTTTCTTTTTTTAAAGTGATAGAATTTTTTTTTTAAAAGATTTTATTTATTTATTTGGCAGAGAGCGATCACAAGTAGGCAGAGAGGCAGGCAGAGAGAGAGGAGGAAGCAGGCTCCCTGCCGAGCAGAGAGCCCAATGTGGGGCTCGATCCCAGGACCCTGAGATCATGACCTGAGCCGAAGGCAGAGGCTTAACCCACTGAGCCACCCAGGCGCCCCTAAAGTGATAGAATTTTTTAAAGCAAGGATGCAGAAAAAGCTCTCAGGAGTGAGAGGGGTCCTGACAGGGTTGCCCTCTCCAGAACTTATTTATCTACTAGTTGCAACACATATGTCTTTAGAAATTCCCAGACATTTGGGGAGCCTGGGTGGCTCAGTCAGTTGGACATCCAACTCTTTTTTTTTTTTTTTTTAACTTTCTCCACCATTACCTATTTATTTATTTATTTATTTATTGACTAACATATAATGTATTATTTGTTTCAGGGGTACAGGTCTGTGGTTCATCAGCCTTACAGAATTCACAGTGCTCACCACAACACACAGCCTTTTTAATGGGCATCAAACTCTTGATTTCAGCTCAGGTCATAGTCTCAGGGTCATGGGATCAAGCCCTGTGTCTGGCTACACACTGAAGATGGAACCTGCTTAGGATTCTTTCTCTCCCTCTCCCTCTGCCTCCCCACCCCCCAACTCACACTCTCTTGATTAAAAAAAAAAAAAAAAAAAAAAAAAAATCCCCAGACATTTGTAATTTTATCATTGTTTAAAACATGGGGCAACACTACTTACTGTTCTGCTGCAACTCGACTTCTCTCCTTAACATTATTTTCTAAGTGTAGATAAATTGATAAATTTCTGTGTCAACATATATAGATTTATCTACTTTTTTTTTGTTTTAGTAACTGAAAAACACATGCATATGGTAAAAAGAAGTTTCGAATAGTACAAAAGGCAAACAGTAAAATGTATCAGGTGTGCCTTCTACTGAGGACCTCAGACCTCTACCACAGTGATACCTAGTGTTAAAGGATCTTGTGAATGCTTCTAGAAATTTTCTGTTTATATACGGGAATACACACGCACACCAGCCCTCTCAATTATCTTTTAAAATGTGCTAATGGGAACATTCCATGCATGCAAACCCGAATGTAAACCTGTGTTTATGAATACTCAACAATGTAAGCATGAAGGCTAGTCTAATTAATATATACACATCCACCCTGTTTTTTTTTCCAATAGTTGCAGAGCATTCCTTCATATGGATGGGAAATACAAAGTGTCCTCTGAATGGTGGTAGTTGCAATATCTTGATATTACAGACAACATTACTACTATTAACAATATCCTTACACTGTGCAAATATATTTGCAATAAATTCTTTGAAGTAGAGCAATAATAAAAAAGTATGTACATTTTAAATGTTGGTAGATGTAGGGGCACCTGGGTGGCTCAGTGGATTAAAGCCTCTGCCTTCAGCTCAGGTTGTGATCCCAGGGTCCTGGGATCGAGCCCCACATCAGGCTCTCTGCCTGGCAGGAAGCCTGCTTCCTCTCTCTGCCTGACTCTCTGCCTGCTTATGATCTCTCTCTGTCAAATAAATAAATAAAATATTAAAAAAAAAAAAAAAGTTGGTAGATGTAGCCAACTGCCCTCTGAAGATCATACACAAACACACATATATATTATTATTATTACATTTTATATATACATAAGAGCTTGTATATATATATGTGTGTACATATATATATGTGTGTGTGTGTACATATATATATATGTGTGTGTGTACATATATATATATATATATATATATATATATATTTTTTTTTTTTTTTTTTTTTTTTTTTTTTTTTAAGATTTATTCATCTGACAGAGAGACAGAGAGCATAGCAGGGGCAGCAGCAGAGGGAAAGGGAGAAGCAGGCTCGGAGCCCGACACAGGGCTGGATCCCAGGACCCTGGGATCATGACCTGAGCTGAAGGCAAATGCTTAACTAACTGAGCCACCCAGGCATCCTGAGCTTATATATATATTTTAAGAACATCGCCTCTGTATGGATTATTGTCCCAGCCAACTTACATGTATTAATAAGAGAAGATTTGCTATGATGACCGTAGGAAGAGGATGGAATCTGGGTCTAAACTGAGCATGTAATGAATGGTGTGGAAGATGCTGGGTGTCCAGAAGAGGGTCATCTTCAATACTTTGAGTGAGATCCAAGGAACCCTGAGGTACAGAAAAACAGAAGCAATCTTTTAATCCCCATTTTTCCGATTATGTTTCTAAGACAAATCTACTAAATTCTAAAGCATTAAAAACCATTACACAAGTTAGAGGCAAGAAAAATACCCTCCCTACATAAAGCGAGTTTAAAAATACCATAAACTTCTAGGTAACTACTGTATACAAGTTGGTGAAAACAAGTGTTAAAATGGGTTGAGGAAATCTTACTTCAATTATCTTCAAGTGAGGTATTACATAATGAGATTAAAGCAAACAATGTTTTCTTTGAGTCCTCAAACTTAGATATTGATTTATCTAACATTACTTAGATTATTGATGAAATAATTACATATGGTTGCAATTCTAAAACTACATCCTGATGTTCCACAAAATTTTGGAAAGTTGGTGGAGGCTTTATTAAACTTTCAGTTATGATAGAAATGTTTTAGAGAAGGAAACAGATCACCATGATAGAGCTTCAAGGAGACTTTAGTTGACAGATACCAGAGTCTCAATGAAAACAACTTGCAAAGTTCCGGAAGTAGCTGATGGCGTTAAGCTGCAACCTAAAATTTCAGTCTGACTTATTTAAAGGTGCTGTCTCGGCAGGAACAGTACTACCAGATCTCTGGCTCATATAACCATCTCTTAATCTAAGACCCTTGCTGAAAACTATTATATATAATATACTAGAAGATGAAAAAATTATAAAACACAGTCCCTGTCCAAAAGATTACATTTTCATTGGGGAAGCTGGGGATAAAGGTATACAGGATGAAATAATATTATAAGTGAGCTAACTGGACAAAAATAGGATGGAAATAACTTGCATTCCGATTTCATCGGAAAAAGGGAAACCTGAGAATAGCATTTGGAAACAGATAAGGGCTCTTTGGAAGGGGTAGAGTGAGACAAATGTTATAGGGATGGTTTCTGGGCACCAGATTACAAAGATAAAAATAATAATCTGGAGCCTAATTCAGATCTGGGGCAGGCTTCTCAGTTTCCAAACTCAGGCATTCAATGCTGCTCTGCAAATTTCTTTTTTTTTTTTTTTCATTCAGTGCCTACATACAGCTTCCTGTTTAGTTTGCTGTAACTTACGGTATGATTCTGATTATTTCTGTTCTTTTCCAGACTCCTCTACCTCTAGCTCTCTCTCAGGCAGCAGACAGATGTCCCAGTCTTCACAGAGCTTCCTCTGGCTACCATCTGCGCATCCTTCCAGGTCCTGCTGGGTCAATTCTTACACGTAGCCTTCCTGGGCTGCCAAGCATCTAGATCACGCCATACCTCCACACCCTCCCACATAGTTTGGTGCTTGCCTCCTCTATCATACTATCCTATGACAGTCCTACCTCTTACCTACCCTCCCAAGTAGATTATATGAGACCCACAAACTCCCCACCATGTATTTGTCTTTGTAATCTTAACGCCCAACAGGTACTGGGGGTTAGCACCCGCGGAACAGATGATGAATGAATGACTGTTCCAATCCTATCTCAGCAGTGTCCTAAGTCAGTCAGGGTGTCGTCAAAGACCTGGGCTAAGCAGGAGAGGTTATCGGGAGCTGTGGGGAGAATCAGCTCTGACCAGATGCAAAGGCAGTCAGTATTGTGCTTACAGGTAAACTCCTAAGGAAACTGCCCCATTCGGATACCAGTTCTCCTGCTTCCTTAGCAGTGAGGGAGTTACTTCATCTCTGTGCCTGTTTCTCATCTCAGGAAACAGAGTGCTAATAGCAACTGCTTCATAGCTTAGAGGGGGGAGATCAGATGAGTTACTATTCATAAAATGGCTGGAACACTGGCTGGCACAGACGTGATAGTCAGTATCAGCCTCTGCTGTCTCTACCACTTGCTCTTCCCTTGCTCCCCATGGAGCACGCCTTACCACTCTGGCCCCTCAATCTCATCTTGCTCTCCATTCTCACTATTCAGGCCAGGTCCCATCATTTCTCATGGCCTTTGCCTTCCAGTCTCCAGATCTTAGCAACGTCTTGCTGCGGTCGATGTCTTCTAACATGAACATTTACGTTTCTCTCCCCCAAAACTTGAGTCCCTCCCCATTCTCCTCTGGACAAAATCCAAATTCTTATTCTGGCTCTCTGTGTTAGAATCCCTTCCCAAGCTACTTTTTGGGTCTTGCCTCTCGTTACTTCTCTCTCCTTCCTGATGCTTACTGCTCATGCGCCTGTCTCTCACCAATCTCTTTCAGTCCCTGTGCCTTTACTTATTTTGGCCCACGTGTCAAGGGCTTGTCTTAGCAAGAACACTGGCTTCGCTGATCCTCAACATTGTTCCTACTGCCCTGTCAGCCAACATTGTACTTCTCATGTCCCCAAGTCTGACTTGGATCTCTTTTATATCTTCCGTATGTCTTTTTACCCCTTTGAACACACAGAAAACGGGTATAATAATTTTTCAGTGTTCCTGTTTGCTATTTTTAGCATGTCATTTCTGATTCATTTCAACTGACTTATATGTCATGTTTTCCTGCCTTTTGCATGCTTGATAATTTTTTTCAACTTATTAAGATCCAGTTGACATATGGCTTTGTGTAAGTTTAAAGTGCACCAGGAGTTAATATGACACACTTATATATATTGCAAAATGATTCCCACTGAAGCATTACCTAACACCTTCACCACATCACATAATCATCAGTGCTTGGTAATTTTGGATTGGATGAAAGACTTCCCGATTTATTGCTTTGGGTGTGGGACAGTTTTGTGTTCCTATAGTCTTGAGTTTTTGTTTTTTTCTGGAACGCAGTTAAATTACTTGGAAACAGTTTGATCTTTTTGGCCTTGCTTTTATTTATTTATTGTTAGGTGGGACCACAGCCACATTTAGTCTAAGGCTAGTTATTCCCCACTATGAAGGTAAGACCTCTGTGAGACCTAGTACCCTGTGAATTATTGAGTTTCCAGTTGGACTGGTGGACTAGCCACTATGCCTGGCCCTGTGTGAGCGCTAAGTTCCGCCTCCTCTAGTCATTTCAGGTGGTTCTTTTCCAGGCTGTGGGCAATGTCCTCACAGGCCCATACTGAGCAGGACTCTGCTGACTCCCTGAGGGGCATTCTGCACGTTTTCAGTTTTCCTCTCCAGGTACTGCCACGTGAACTCTCGTTGCCTCAGTCTCCCCAGACTCTCAGCTCCAACTCCTCAACTCAGGGAGCCTGCTGACCTCTGCCGGGGCACCCTTTCCTGTCACAGCCCTCAGCCTCTCTCAAGGGGGTCAGCTGGGGCAGTCATATGACTCACTCCATCCCCCTCCTCTTGGAAAGCACTGGCTTTCACTGCCCAACGTTCAATAGCTCAAAAAAGTGTTGTTTCCAATATTGCATGTAGTTTTTTGGTTACTTCAGGCAGAAGAATGAATCCAGTCCCTGTTATACCGTGCTGGCTAGGAACAGAAGTCCCTACTTCACTCTCACACATGTCTATTACAACTTCCAATGCTAACCACAGGATAGCAAAGTTGTTGGAAAAGTGTGCTTCACATGGGCAGAGACTCTGTTTTGTACTTTCATTATACCTTTAGCATCTAACATAGAGTACAGGCTCAGTATGTGTGTGGAGTGAACGAAACATTGCCCAACTTCTTGAACACTTGGGGCCTGAGAGTTTAAACAAAGCAGGCCTTGAGACCTTAACTGTAAGACTACTGTCCATTTATCTCCCATTTACCTCCCTTGCATGCCCCTCCTCCCCTAGCCTAAATGACCTTTCTAGACGGCCCCACAAATATCCTTATTTTTTTCAGAATCCATACAAGCCTTAAGTGCTCTATAAAATTTGTTATGCAGGGGCTCCTGGGTGATTCAGTCAGTTGAGTATCAGACTATTGATTTCGCCTCAGGTCATGATCTCAGGGTTGAGATGGAGCCCCAGTCAGCTCCGAGTTGGGTGTGGAGCCTGCTTAAGATTCAATCTCTCCCCCACCCCCTCTAAAACTTTTTTTTTTTTAAAGATTTTATTTATTTATTTGACAGACAGAGATCACAGGTAGGCAGAGGCAGACAGAGAGAGAAAGGGAGAAGCAGGCTCCCTGCTGAGCAGAGAGCCTGATGTGGGGCTCGATCCCAGGACCCTGAGATCATGACCTGAGCCGAAGGCAGAGACTTAACCCACTGAGCCACCCAGGCGCCCTCCCCCACCCCCTCTAAAAGACAAAAACAAAAACAAAGAAACAACTTGTCCTGCTGACTGTTTTTTTTTTTTTTTAAGATTTTATTTATTTATTTGACAGAGAGAGATCACAAGTAGACAGAGAGGCAGGCAGAGAGAGAAGAGAGAGGGAAGCAGGCTCCCCGCTGAGCAGAGAGCCCGACGTGGGGCTCGATCCCAGAACCCTGAGATCATGACCTGAGCCGAAGGCAGCAGCTTAACCCACTGAGCCACCCAGGCGCCCCCTTGCCAACTGTTTTCTTTCTACTCTACAACTGCTATAAAATGTACTGCTCATAATATTAATTTGGAATAGTTCTTTTTTCTTTAAGATTTTATTTATTTACTTGAGAGAGCAAGCAGGAGTGAGCAAGAGCGAGCCATGTGCAGGGGTGGAGGGGCAGAGGGAGAGGGAGAAGCAGACTTCCTGCTGAGCAGGGAGCCCCATGTGGGGCGCAATCCCAGGATCCCAGGATCATGACCTGAGCCGAAGGCAGCCGCTTAACCCACCCAGCCACCAAGGCTGTATTGTATTTTTTCCTTATGAGTGCTATCTTGTATTTTTTCCTTTTTAATGTATATACATTCTGTTTCTCCTGATTACACTGAACAGGTTGGAGACGATAATATGGTTTCTTCTCTATGTCACTTATTAGACTCAGTAAATAAAACGTATTTGAAGGCTATATCAAATCCACTGTCTAGTGGATTCTACAGGAAATGTGTAACAATGCCTCATCACTCTCAGATGGCAACTCACCATCTCCGTGTGAAAGGTAAAATGAAGACAACTCCTGGAATCCATGTAATTTCTTCACTTACACTATTAAGAACTACACATCATGACCTGGACAAGATATCTGCTGTTTTGCCCACATGAATCTCTTTCCTCTTCTTTTGTGATAATAACTGGATCTCCTCTGGGGACTCACTGTCCACCTCTCCATTAAGTCCCAATGGGAACATCCTTCAGTACTTTTCACCCTCCTCTGGGAAGGTGGAACCTCTGGCCTCTGGTAGAACCTAAGGGGGCTGGACAATTCAATTCTTTCTGTGGGCGACAAACCAAAGGGAGACTACGGCGGGCACATTCAGTCCAGGACAGACTCTGAAAGGACCCCGGTCCCTTAGATCCCTTGTGTCGCCCTTGATTGGAGTCCTTTCAGAGGCGTAGGTATTCACTCACTCTGATCATTTCAAAGAAATTCCTTTCTTCCTTAAATCAGCCAGAGTTGGTTTCATAGCTTGTAAACAGTGAACCCTAAATAAAGAGCCTTTGCCTCTGTTAACTCTTATAAGTGTCTAGGCCTATAGCATACACCATATTTTTAGCTTTTTACTGAATGGTAGAAATCATAGCCACAAATTACCCAAAACAGGCAACTTGCTCAGATCTAAAGTGATTTAGATATGTAACTGTTGGTGAAACATTAATCTCCATTTGTTTGGTGGAACAGATTTCTAGATTGTACTCATCCTAAAACTAAAGGCTACAGATTCAAAAATCTGGGGGCAACTTAGCATCAACCAAGAAGCATTTACAGCACACATTTTCCTGATTTTTCCCCATACACTGTCAGCTTACAAATGTCACCCTTAAAAATTCAGAAACAATGATTTATTTCTTCAAATGTATGTGAATGTCAAATCTACCTTCAATGTCTTACAGTTAGTTTTACATTTTTTCAACTGAAAAAAAAATGGTAGGTTTTAGCTTTATCATTAGAAATTGTTTGGATCTTAGTTACCATACTTTAAGTGTGGTTGTTACTTACATAAGAATCTAAGCTCTTGTAGGCCTGGGACTGTTATGTGTCTTGCCTAATGCCTCTAATTCAATGACAGGATCACAGTAATATTCCTATTTATGTATTAATCCAAATTAATGCTTTAATGTAACTGTCAACTTTGCATTTCTCAAGGATAGATTTTATTACCTGTCAATGAGGCAAACCAGTTAATTCTGGGCACAATTACATGTTTCCCCTAAGAAAATTTCAATATATTTAAGTCAAGATTTCACTTTGTACGATACAGACTGTAAACTAGGCCTATGGTTTTTTTTTTGGGTTTTTTTTTTTTTTTAATGTAATCTGGTTTGGACCAGAAGTAAGGCAATTTAAAAACTCCTCCCATGCCTATCACGCTTGCATTCAAAACATCACAACACTGTTTTTCTCCAGTGCGGGTTTCTGAGCAATGACAGCGACAAGTCGGCCCGTGGGACGCCGGCGGCCTGACTGCGTGTCACAGCGGCTCCCAGGTCCACAGCGCTCTAAAGCCAACGCAGGGAACCCACGACGAGGGAGACCGACACCCCCTCCCCCCCGAGCCCCAGAACATGTGAGCGCAGCCCAGCCGCCCCGCGCAGAGAAGCGACGGAGAGAGGGCGGTCAGGCCAGACGCGCATCACGTGAAGTTCCCAGTTCCGGGATCAAAGACGCGCTCCGCACGTGAGCTGGGCGCCCGTCAGGGACACCGCATCCGCGCACCCACCACCCAGCAGCCCACCCGGCCTCCACTCGGGAACAGAAGCCCCGAACCGGCGCGTCGCGGACCCCACTGCCTCCTGGGGTCTCGTCCCAGGACCCCGCACCCCGGGCCAGCCCTGCACAAGAAGCGCCGCCTCCAGCCACGGCCGCAGAGGTTAAGGGTGGCTTCCCCTGGCAGTCTCCGCCCCGCGCGCCCAGCAAGGGAAGAAAGGGGTTCCGGGACCAGCCTCCCTCCACTTCCGCGCACTCACGTCCTCCATCCTGCCCCTCGTAGCCATTTCCCGAAGCCTGAGGCCGAAGCCCCGGCCAGCCAGGCCTCTCCACCTGATCCCCACGCCGCCGGCCTAGCAAAATTGCCACCTTCTAGGACTTAGCCTCCCTCACTTCAGACACACCCCCTCCTGCTCCCGCTCCTCCTCCGTCTTCCCCCGAGCCCCGCCTCCTCACTCCCGATTGGCCAAGACGCGGGGGCGTGTCCCGCCCTGAGAGACAGGCCTGTGTGCCTCCCGCAGCTGCACTGACCGCCTGGCTTCCGGGGGTTTCCGGCAATCTCCGCTCAGGTCGGGTGGTGGCCAGAGCTTGGGTGTTAAAGGTTGCATTCCGAATCCAAGAATTTAACTATTTTTGCCGCCACTTGTTTCTTTTTAAAAACATTAACTTTTCTCGGTCTTCCTTAGTTTGTGTTTGGAGGCACAGCTCCATGCACGAGTAGAGCCAGCTATAGAATCCTATAGCTATAGAATCCATTTACAGCTGGAAACTCCACCAGCAGAGTGATAGGAACAGAATAAAGATTCTAATTTACATGACGTATTTACACATTTCACTAATGGGAAATGAAGCAGTTCAGGATTTTTAGGGCTTTTGTTTCTTTTTAATGGAATAAATAAATAAAACTTTTCTGGAAATCCATGATCGTTGTAAAAATGTAAAGAAAGTTAAAAAAATTGTGTTAAACATCAGTTCCCTGATCTGACTCAGCTACTAGTGGGAATATGCACATTTTCATACTTTCTAATGTTTATTTGTGCATTGCGTATGGTGTAATCCTGTTTATGACATTGGAAATAAAATTACTCAAGTATCAGCCAAGGAAAAGATGATACAAGACTCCACCTCATCTTTACAATCTCAGGAAATTTTAAAATTTCCTGAGGTTCTATAAATTATAATTATTATTTTGAGAGAGAGAGAGCATGAGAAGGGGGAGGGTCGGAGAATCAGACTCCCCCCTGAGCAGGGAGCCCCACGTGGGACTCCATCCCTGGACTTCAGGAGCATAACCTGAGTGGAAGGAAGCCCCTTAACCAACTGAGCCACCCAGACGCCCCCTATAAATTGTTTTCCAAGAGCCGTTTCCAGGCATTCATATTCCTTCAACATTTGATCTTGAAAATTTTCAAACCTAGGGAAGTGTTTTAAAACTAGTGTGGTGAACATCCATGTGACCCTCACATCCATTCATCAGGTCATATTATGCCACAGCCGCTGTGAGTGTTTGTGCATGTGTGCTCTAGTGTTCACGCACATGTTAAGGGAATCATTTGAAAATACTTAGAGGACATTATGAAAATTCATTCCAAATACTTCATTGACTGAAAATAAGGGCACTTTCCTATTTCACCACAATACCATTATCACAACTAAGAAACCAATAGTAGCTCCATGTTTGCTAATAAACAATCCATGGCAAAAATTTTCCAAAATTTCCCCAAAATGTTTTTTTAATTTTTTAAAATCTTTTTAAAAGACTTATTTATGGGGCACCTGGGTGGCTCAGTGGGTTAAACCTCTGCCTTCAGCTCGGGTCATGATCTGGGGTCCTGGTATCCTGCACCGCATGGGGCTCTCTGCTCAGCGGGAAGCCTGCTTCCCTTCTCTCTCTGCCTGCTTCTCTGCCTACTTGTGATCTCTCTCTCTCTCTCTCTCTGTGTCAAATAAATAAATAAAATCTTTTAAAAAAAATAAAACATTTATTTTAGAGAGTGAAAGAGAGAGTGAGCACAAGCAGGGGGAGGGGCAGAGGGAGAGAGAGACAGAATCTCAAGGCGATTGCCCTCACTTCTCCTCCTGTGCCTTCATCTTAGGAGGTGGAGATCATGATCTGAGCCAAGACTCAGAAGCTCAACCAACTGATCCACCGAGGGGCTCTTTAAGATATCTTTTTTAGTTCTTTTTCATCATCCAAAATTCAGTCAAGATTCACACATTGCTTTTTTTTATTATTATTTTTTAAAGATTTTTATTTATTTGACACACAGAGAGAGGAATCACAAGTAGGCAGAGAAGCAGGCAGAGAGAGAGGAAGAAGCAGGCTCCCCGCTGAGCAGAGAGCCCGATGCAGAACTCGATCCCAGGACTCTGGGATCATAACCTGAGCCGAAGGCAGAGGATTAACCCACTGAGCCACCCAGATGCCCTATTTTATTATTTTTAAAAAGATTTTATTTATTTATTTGACAAAGAAAGAGAGAGAGAGCGTGCGAGAGTGCACACAAGCAGGCGGAGCAGGAGAGGGAGAAACAGGTTCCCCACCGAGCAAGGAGCCCAATTCCGGGCTCAATCCCAGGACTCAGGGATCACAATCCAAGCCAAAGGCAGTTGCCTAATAGCCTGAGTCACCTAGGCACCCCAGTATACTTTAATAAGTACATTATACTGGTTAACACCAAGGCTCTGGAATTAGTCATGAAGATTCGAATTCTGTCTTACTAGGGGTATGATCTTGGGCACCTTACTTAAATTCTCTAGGAGTCGGTTTCCTTATCTGTAAAAATGGAAATATTACTAGATCCAGTTTTGGAGGGATTTTTGATTAAATGAAATAATGCATGTAATGTTCTTGGTACAGTTCTGTCTCTAAGCACTCAAAATGTTAGCACTTTTTTGTGTAAGTCAGGTTTATTGAAACATTATTAACATATACAGTCATTGTTTTAATAGTATACTAAAATATTACATTAATCAAATAGTTCAGTAAGTCTTTTTTTTTCTGGAGGTTGAAATTTTTCAAAATAAAAATAGTGGTGGTGGGGGGAGATGATGGTGCACTTGGTCGGCTAAAAGGCTTTAGGGTAGGAATAATCTGTGATTACCTTGTGTAAACCAGAAGGGAGCAATGGTGCCAGGAAATAGAATTCTGAATGTTGCAAGACTTTATAGGAGTGGGTTGGTAGAGGAAAGAGGTTGTCAGGCCAGGAGCTGTGCTTCAGTAGGAGGCTGTGACCCCCAAGAATTAGAAAGAGCAGGAGAAAAGGTTGCCCTATGGAATGACAAGGGTGACCGTTTATTTATTTTTTAAAGATTTTATTTATTTATTTGTCAGAGAGAGAGAGAGCACAAGCAGGGGAAGCGGCTGGCGGAGAGAAAGGGAGAAACAGGCTCCCTGCTGAGCGAGGAGCCCAATGCTGGACTCGAACCTAGCACCATCTGAGCTGAAGGCAGATGCTCAACCGACTGATCCACCCTGGCGTCCTTAGAAAGAAGATTTGTCTTTGCCTCATCATTTTCTTTAGGCCTAGCCATGCAAGCATAGTTATGTTTACTATGCCCAGGTCACAAGTTAGAGATAAAGAAAATCATATGATTGCCACTAAAAGACATTGATATTCATATTCAGGGGATATAAACAGAAACAATAGGTTAGGTGCAGGAATACAGTTCTGTGGAACTCTCTCCTAAAATTTGAAAAGGATTCATTATAGCACTCAGGCACAGATGACACGTATGGGGAATGAAAATTTAGTCATTATCAGGAAAGATTATTAAAATGTCCATATAATGTTCTAGTGTTGATCAAAGTAATTTAAATAAGCAAAGCCCTGTAAAGAAATGATATTTATAAAGGTATGTGACATTTCATTGTTGCATGACTGTAATATTTTTAGTGAAAGTTCTTGTGTTTGTTCACCTTGAGGAATAAGAAGATAGGAAGAAACTGTTTTTCTGCCAAACAGGTGACCTTTTGATTCAGGTCTGAAGCTTTATCTTTCCTATAAGTGTTATCACCGTCAACATTATTTTGAGCAGTGCTTAGCCCAATCACAGATATTGAAGTGTTAATAATATCTCCTTTTTTTTAACATCAGTGTAAAATGTGTCCTTAATTCACTTTATAGTGTTGCTAATACAACTTCCCTTATTCATCTGACCATAGTAGAATGTAGCATATAAATAATAGGTGCTCAATTAGTATTTGTTATTGATTTTAAAGTGAGATCTCATTAGCGACTAATACTGATTTTAATTTGGCTTTTTATTTTTTTATTTTTTTAAAAAGATTATTTATTTATTTATTTGACAGAGAGAGAGAGATCACAAGTAGGCAGAGAGGCAAGCGGGGTTGGGGGGTGGGGGGAAGCAAGCTCCCCGCTGAGCAGAGAGCCCGATGCGGGGCTCGATCCCACGACCCTGAGATCATGACCTGAGCCAAAGGCACAGGCTTAACCCACCAAGCCACCCAGGCGCCCCTAATTTGGCTTTTTAATCAAATTTTAGATTGAGCCAATCCTAGCTAGACTTTTCTATGATTCTCTTAAGCTTCCCCGTTCTTCTGTCAGGAATACACTTATCCCAAGCTCTGGCTTTGGGTAATGCTTTCTAGCTAAGTCTCTCTTAGATACCCAGAGAGATGCTGCTGACAATTTCCCTTTCAATGAACAGACAGAAAAGTAAGTCGACAGTTATTTTAGTGTAATCAAATTATTTTTGCTTATATACTTTTCCTGGAATTTTTTTTTCTAGAAAGGAATTTAAGGATATTGTGAGCACTCAGAAATATTCTGCAGTTTCTATTTATTTGTTCCATAAATATGTGGGCCTTTGAGAACACCAGGTACCACAAATAGATCCAATTGTAACCAAACATTTAAATTTGGATGAAAAAGGTATATTAGAGGTCCTCAGAACCTATGAAATTTCAGATTTGTTACCCATCACCTCTTCCCACATTATTGGTTTGTATTCTCCTAAAGTTCTTGTACTGACATTTAAAAACACACTTGTTTCTGAAGGCAGAAAAGTTTATTTTGGTTTCACTGACTAATTCGGCAGTGGGAGAACAAATTTGCTAAAACTTCCAAAAATTATTTATTTTTGGATAGATACCAAATATGTGAAGTTTTAGACCAGAAAAAAATTGTTTTCATTTAAAGTTTTAGAAAAACAGGGGCACCTGGGTGGCTCAGCTGCTTAAGCATCTGCCTTCAGTTGAGGTCATGGTCTTGGGGTCCTGGGATTGAGCCCTGAGTTGAGCTTGCTGCTCAGCGTGAAGTCTGCTTCTCCCTCTCCCTTTGCCTCTCACCCCCACTGTGCTCTCTCAC